CCATGGGCCCTCCTTACACCACCACATCCCAGCCCAGGGCCCTAACAGCAGCCGAGCAGTCGGCTACTGGGTCAGCAGAGATCCTGGTCCAAAACACACTGACTTGTTATGTCGGGGTCAGCGGGGGTTCACACCACAGCCCGCTGACCCTCGGCCAGACCAAGGTCGGCTATCCCTGGGCCGGCTCCATTTCTCCCCTCTCCGTATGGTACCGCTAGTAGGGGCAGGTCCTCAGGGCTGCACGGGTTGAAGTCCTTCGGCCAGATACGCAGGGCCTCTAGGTAATCATCCAGGAGAGGGCCCGGTGGCCCTGACTAGCCGTCTGCTTCCCCCAGGTGCGGTTCCTCGCTGGGTTGAACTGAGCAGGCTTCTGGCTCCCTGTCAGTCTGGGGCGAGACGGCCGCTGGCTCCCTGGCTGGCTGGAGAGAGAAGGCTTCTGGCTACCTCCCTGGCAGGGCCCCCAACTAACCTTGCAGGCTGACCCTTTATATCCCTGGCCCCGCCCCTGGCTTCCTCCCAGGTGAGTCATCCAGGTGAGCCCACCATGGCTCAGGGAGGCGCGTTTCCCCCTCCGGGTCTGTGGGTGGTCACTCCAACCCACTACACATCCGATGCCACTTCTACCTCAGTCGTACTCAGCAGCATCTCGAAAGGGCCATCTCCCCCCTTGCTCACGTGGTCTCTGAGGAGTCCATCTGGAGAAGCCAGGCACCTCTCCAGTGTGGGCTGTTCAGACAGAGCAATGATGCGTGGATTTTTTTTGGGGAAGGGGCGACATTCCACAGGTGTCTGGAGAAAGCCCTAGGCAGATGCTTGGAGAAGAGGGAATGTGCTTCAGTTATTTAGTGAAAGCAGCCAAGCTACAGTGCTTGGCCACTAGGGTTGTAAAAAGTGGGTAATTGGGTAACCATATGACCACTGAAAATTTCAGCACTTACGTGGTTGCATGGGGTGTCAGCCAGCTCCTTAGGAGCCGGTGTGCACCAGGCGCCAGCTTTTAAGCTGGCTCCTGGTTCAAGCTGGATCTGCCAGCCCTGCTACCAGGGAGTTGGCGGCCACCCTGCGCTGCTGCCTCTGATCCAGAGGCAGCAGCATGCACTGGCCTCTGCCTGCCGGCCCCACTCCCAGGGAGCCTTCATGTAATCGTGCACGGTAATAATCGTTAACTGTGTAAACAGATAGGCTATGTCTGCACTGGCAGGTTGTTGTGGCAGAAGTATGCAAATGAGGCTAAGCATGGAAGATCGACGAGCCTCATTTGCATACCTAATGAGCCGCCATTTTTGCGGAAGAGGCTCCTGCGCTAAAAGGAGCTGTCTACACTGCCCCTTCTTGCACAAGAAAAACCCTCTTATGCAGTGCTGTTCTTCCTGAAAATAATCAGCGTAGCGGCATTGCGCAAGAGGGTTTTTCTTGCACAATAAGGGGCAGTGTAGACAGCTCCTTCTAGCGCAAGAGCCTCTCCTGCAAAAATGGCAGCTCATTAGGTATGCAAATGAGGCTCAGCGATATTCCACACCTAGCCTCATTTGCATACTTCTGGTGCAACAACCCGCCAGTGTAGACATAGCCTTATCCTATTACATCCCTAGTGGCAACATGACAATTCTGAAGCTAACCTTTGTGAAGAAGGCAGTAGAGAGCTATTCCTCCTTCTCTGTGTTTCTCTTTCCTTTGCTTCCCCTCCTGGGGCAAGGCATCCAGGCATGTTGGAAAAGTACTGGATCATTTTAAGCAGACATAGTTTCTGGACTTTTGGGTTGGTAAGGCCTTCAGAGGTGCATCTGCCGCCTGCCCCAGGATGGAGTACTGTGGTATAGCTCTTCTTTCGGTGACTAGACAGAGAGGTGATCTCAGCTGAAATACCAGCTGAGAGATTTTTTTATTTTATTTTTAACAGCGGTGTGATACCCTCTTAGAAAACAATTCTCGGTTGCTATGTCAACCACAGAGCAAATACAGCAAATTCCCTGCATGAGGATATGAAGGATGAATAAATAAAGTAGCTTGAAAATGTTAAGAACCCTTCATTCCAAGTCAATTCACTGAGAACGAGGGTCAAGGAGAGATGGATGGCTGCTCGACCCAGAAATGCTGCAGGAAGTAGATGGTGGTAGATATGAAAGCATAATCTTTAAAACGATGTGGGAAATGAGTTATTAAATCAGGCTGAATACGAAAGTTCAACGGCAGGTAGAGTGGAAAATCTTAGCAACTTCCCTATGAGGACCTACAAATCTGTACAAATAATTTTAACAGAGTCCCAAGAGATAGGAACATAACATTCCGATTTGATATGTGGGTAAGCTGAACCAGAGAGAGGGAAATTGATTTGCCCAAGATTATTCAGCAACTTAGGGTACGGCTACACTGTGGGTTTGTTTTTTTCTGGAAGAGATATGCAATAGCGCTCGCATTTGCATACTTTTTTCCGTTTTCTTCCCAGAAGAAACCTTCTTCCGTTTTTTTTCCTGGAAGAAGCTTTTCTATCATTTGGCCCCCTCTACTCGGGGCCCAATGTCAGAAAACACCCTCTTTCAAAAGCCTCCTTCTTCCTTGTAAAATGAGGTTTACAGGGGCTTTCGAAAGAGGGGGCTTTTCCCTCGACATTTGGCCCCGTTTACACAGGACAAAATGGCAGAAAAGCGTCGTCTTCCATTTTTTCCCCCGGAAGGTATGCAAACGCCAGCGCTATTTGCATACCTTTTCCGAAACCCCCCCCACCGTGTAGCCGTACCCTTAGTGGACTACGAATGGGATGCATCCAGCCCACTTAATTAGCCTCATTAACAGGGTCCTACACTTGACAGGTACTGCTTCTGCTGTTCTCTCTCTTGATTTCTGTTATTTCCACTCCAACTCCTCCAATGAAGTGGCTTTTGCTCACAAAAGCTCACGGTTCTATATATATTTTGTTTGTCTGTAAGGTGCCACAGGACTACTGGTTTTTTAAGTGACCGACTAATGCAGCTACCCCTCTGAGACAGAGATTGGTGGACATGGAAGTGGCAGAGGAATATTTCTATCGCTTTCTCATTAGAGGACAATGAGGCGTTTCCATTTCAAGGGCATTTTTTCAAAAGCCCACTGGAGTCTTTCTAATAGAATTTGAAGGTGATGAAGCTGTGGAGTAGCTTGAGGAGTGAAAGTGCAGTGAATAATCAAAACCAGGTGGTATTTCTCTGAGGGAAATGGCCTGGAACAGCTGAGATACTTAAGAGGGCATGGAGGACTTGTTTAAGCATGGCAGTTGTTTCCCAAGAACAGAATCCACTAACATAGCCCCTGTGCTTCCAAATAGGAGCCAGTTGGAATCGTGAGCATCATGAACCACTGAGCTTTGGCTGGGGCTTGGGACAGACAGTGTACCATCTCATTCGGCATCTTCCGCTGGCATCTAGCGCAGGAAGACTTGAGGGAGTGACTGTGTGGATAGTATGTAGAACTGTCTAACGCTTGGGATCCTTCCGATTTGGAGGAGGATGGATGACCTGGCAGGGAGACGAGCCTGTTGGGGAGGACTTCTGAATTCTGCAAGATTGGAGCCCTTGTAAGGTTTGGAAAGTCCATACAATTGCTACCTCCTACTGCAAGCTTTCCGCTGGCCGTCCCTCCAGTAAAATGCGCTTCAGCACCACATGCCTATGAAGAATTGCTCCTCACCTAGGAGAATGCTCTTGCAAGTTCTGGACGGTTGTTCCTTGGTACTAAGCTTCTCATCCCCAAGACCGGAATGTCTTGCCTTTTTAAGCATTCTAGTTCATGCGCGTTCAAGTGGCTGCTCTGTAATAGCAACTGGAGCCGTGGTCGCTGCGTCTGGAGAAGTTGCTCTCCCGAGAGTTCCTGGCACCGTGAATTGTACTTCAGGCAGACACGAGGAGACCGTGTGCAAAAGACTTGGACGGCCCATTTATTAATATGGGGGGGGGACACAACGTTCACGTCGTGACACACTCCACTCTCTTAGGGTACCAGAAGTTTTATCGACAGATACTGTCGACAAAGCTTCTGTCGACAAAGAGCGTCTAGACTACAGCTAGTTCTGTCGACAAAGCAAGCCGCTTTGTCGACATAACAGTGTGGATGCAAAGGACAGTGTAGATGCAATAATGCCTTCTATCGACAGAACTCTGTCAACAAAAGGCGTTATTCCTCGTAGAATGAGGTTTACATACGTCGACAAATCTGCTGAGTTTTGTCGACGTTATGTCAACATAACTCAAAGGCAGTGTGGACGCAGGTATAGTTTTGTCGACAAAAGTCCACTTTTGTCGACAAAACCCTGTAGTCTAGACACACCCTTAGTATGAAAAGCAAATGCGCGGAAGAAAGTTTAAAGCGCCTTAAGTATCCTGTTTTGCAGCAAGATAGTTCTTCACCTCTGTCGCGGTGCGTTGGGGGGCGGTCCCTGAGCCTACACCCCCATCCACAGCCAGATGATTCAGTCAGCAGGTAGAACCGACGGTTTTATTGGTTCCCAAGGTCACAGGGTAGCATAGGATATGTGTTCGCCCAGATCCCGAGAGCAGGCAGCATTATTCCTCTTGGGGGGGAAGAGGCTTCTGGGCCCCTCACCCCCTTTCCTGCTCCCAGCCTCCTCACTCCTCCTAGCCCAGACTGACACTTCTCACCAGCCCTGCCCCCCCAGTCTGGTGCAGCCCCGCCTATCCTGTCTCCCTTCCTGGCCAAGAGTTGTGATCTCCTGTGTCTGGGCCCAACACACATCTGCAGTGAGTCACGAGGAATTACACACCCCACCATACAGCAAAGAGCGAACACAGGATTATGGTAATTCTGGCCCCTGCATCTGCTCTCTCCAGCCCAAGAGAAAACCGGCTGAAGGCATATATTTACATTTCAGCGTTGTCTCCCATTGGTTCGTTTGGCTCCCTGCCAGCAATGCCCTTAGCTACCTGAGTTTAACCCTTTAGGAGGCCAGCACTCTTCCTATCCATCACATGCGTGATCACGTTTATTAAAGGCATCGCAGTGCCCGACATATGGGGAAACGGGGAAAGGTAAGGTGGTGCAGGCAGTCTGCACGTTCTTATTCTTGGACTTGGATTCCTTATGGAGGCAGCCGTAATGTTGCGTTGACAGGGTTTTTTGTTGTTTTTTTGTGACTGACTGAATGACTTTTGTCACATGTCAATGGTCAATGGACGGTGCTGGGGCAGGGGACAGAGTGCCAGTGGGGGCAGAGTGCTGGGGTGGGAACAGGGGGTAGGGGACCGGGTTCTGTGTCAGGGGACAGGGTGCCCGTGGGGACAGGGTGTTGGTGGGGACAGCAAGTGATGGAGAGGAGGAGAACAGAAATTAGACATGCTCTAATACCGTGGTCACCAACCCGTCGATCGTGATCGACTGGTCGATGGGGAGGGGCGTTCAGGGCCCCCAAGCCCCCAAGAAGCCCCACTACCTACCTCCAGCGACAATCCCAGTCTTCAAGGATGGGGTGGGGATTTGGGGGAAGGATGGGGCGATAGATCTTGGCTTGTTCTGACATTTAAAAAGTGATCTTGTAAAAAGGTTGGAGACCACTGCTCAAATATATATATATATATGTATAGAGAGAGGGAGAGACAGACTGATTTATAGAGAATAAGATGGAGAATATCTTATTGCCCTTATATAAATCCATGGTATGCCCACATCTGGAATACTGCATACAGATGTGGTCTCCTGCTCCTCAAAAAAGATATACTGACATTAGAAAAGGTTCAGAAAAGGGCAACTAAAATGATCAGGGGTTTGGAACAGGTCCCAGTGAGGAGAGATTAAAGAGACTGGGACTTTTCAGCTTGGAAAAGAGGAGACTAAGGGGGATATGATAGAGGTCCATGAAATCATGAATGGGTGGAGAAAGTGAATAGGGAAAAGTTATTTACTTGTTCCCATAATATAAGAACTAGGAGCCACCAAATGAAACTAATGGGTAGCAGGTTTAAAACAAATAAAAGGAAGTTCTTCTTCACACTACACACAGGCAACCTGTGGAACTCCTTGCCTGAGGAGGTTGTGAAGGCTAGAACTTTTAACAGGGTTCAAAAGAGAACTAGATAAATTCATGGAGGTTAAGTCCCTCAATGGCTATTAGTAGGGTTTGCCAAGCGGCAGCAAGCCCCGCTTGCCAGCCGCATGGTTCTGCGAGCTGCGCATGCACAGATCGCGCTGTGCTGGTTTATAATCTACTTGCCATGGGCAAGTAGATTACATTATTTGTTGAGCCCTGGCTATTAGCCAGGCTGGGTAAGGAATGGTGTCCCTAGCCTCTGTTTGTCAGAGGATGCAGATGGATGGCAGGAGAGAGGTCGCTTGATCATTGCCTGTTCTGTTCACTCCCTCTGGGACACCTGGCATTGGCCGCTGTCAGTAGACAGGGTACTGGGCTGGATTGGCCTTTGTTCTGACCCAGTATGGCCATTCTTATGTTCTTATGACAGACAGAGACTACACTGCATCCCTGCCTGTTGGGGAATTGGATTTGAACCTGACTCTCCATTGTGCTACAGCCTCATCCCTGCCTGGTCCACATGCTGCATATCCCCAAATGGAGAGTGGCTTTAAGGGTGACAAAGCCTTACAGTGCCAAAGGCTGCAGGAACAACGTGCCAGCGGCCCGAGTGGCTCTGCTTGTCTGCAGATCAACCCCACGGCCCAGGGATGCTAACGGTGTCATCCCCGAAGTGGCCAGTGTAAACTTCCCTAGCAGTAAAACCCTACTGGGTGACCATCTTGGCCCTCACTCTGTGCATACAAGTCATGGGGTAACTATAGGCCAAGCTGAGATGTTTCTGGGCATAATTGTGAACCACTAGCCGGCCAAAATACCTGTTTCCTCCAGGATTTCCCCTCTTACCTCAGGTATCAAACTCCTGTGTTGGAGAGGGCCAAGTTAGGGTTTTAACAGCCTTAAGTGGACTGTGTTCATGAGGGGTATGAAATCAGGGTCATGTAGGCCCCTTGAAATGTAGGGGTGAATAGGAGGATTGCACAAAGATCGTAGAACGTGGCCTTTGTGTAGCTTTTGTAAGTTGCTCCTTGTGCTGACCCCTGCGTTTGCCCGGAGAAGCTTGCAGAATCAGAGCCTTTGGACATGACGCACTGGGACTAATATGCTGTGTGCTTGTGGGACGGCTGCTGCTCTGTGCCCTCTGGCTGTTTGTCCAAGCCAGAGCACCCACATACGCAAGGAGGCACATAATGGTTATCTGGCTTGTCAAGTTTCACAGTTAAGCTTCACGGTAACACCCGCTTGGCTTGTTTGCTCGGCGCTATTGTTTCGGAGCGGCTGCGCTCCGGAAGTCTGTGCTAGGTTACAGTCATTAACAGGAAAACCTCCTTGACATGACCTCCAGCCCCTAGAAACTTTGAAAGGAAAGCTTCCATCCCGCAGAGTCCGACTGCACTGTGTGAGTCCGATAAACCCCTTCAGCAGGCCAGATCCGGCCTGCCGGCCAAGTATCTAGCAGCTCTGCCTGACAGGCTGTTTGTTACCTTCTCTTTTCTCCAGGCTGGCAACCAAACTCTGCTTTGTGGGGACTGTTAATAAAAACATAGAGACCCCTGTCAGGTTTGTGTGGGGCCCGGTTCTGTAAAACCCAATGGTGGATCAGTCATTTGGGATCCGAAGGAATGAAAGGAGCGTGCCAGCTAGCAGTTGGCTCTCTTGGTAGCATTCAGTGGTAGTAAATTAACCTCCCTTGGTTAAATTCTTCCTCCCACTTTTCCGTAGAGGGTGATGGGGCTCCGTGGGCTGCGAATAAGATTAGAAGCGAGGTGCTGTTGGTTCCTGTTCCGATGTCTGACGCCACCTCTGTGACCTTGGTTTCACCTCTGCCTCGGTTTCCCCGCCTAGACACACTCCATCTGAACCTAGGCATTGTTCGAATCTCTGCACCCCCCCCAAACCTCTTCCTGTGTGCCCCCCGCCCAGCGACGGGCATGGAACCCCCAGGGAGCCCTCTGCTGTTTGTGGAAGCACATCCCAGCTGGCTGCCCCCTCGCCTCCTCCCCGCACTTCTGCCAGGGAGTTACTTCACCCTAGCGCTGGCCTTAGCTGATGCAGCACCGAGTCCATGCTTAGCCCTGCTGGTGGGGGCAGGACAGGTGCTCCAGAGCCCAGTGTTTCAAAGGGGCTTGTAGCTCCTGTGGAGCCCCAGGCCTCTTTGAATTGCCACAGGAGTCGGCTCTGCCGCTCCACACGGCTCTGTGGAATGGCTACCACTGCGTCTGCATCCTGCTCAGCCGCAAGGGAGAGGACGTGGGTGAGAGGGTCCCTCCTCGAGTATCCGAACAGGATCCAAGCTCCCGGTGCTGTTTGGAGAAATAGAAACCTGCTGTCGCGGGGGTAGCAGAAGGCTGGAAAGGCCTCTGGGAGGCGACCAGTGTTGCTGTACTGTGGTGGTAACTCTGCAGAATGAACGGCTGGCTCTTGTGAGATTTGGCACGCTTGGCGACTCGCTGATTTCATTCGGTACTGAGTGGTCTGAGCCTTCTGTCCCAGAGTGGTCAGCCACACGGCTTTCCTTTTAACCCTAGAAATCTTGGCAAGTCCACTCACGGCCCTGGGACAACACCCTTTGGCTCAGAAAGCATTCCCGGAGGGGCAGTTCCTGTCCACAGACAATCAGTTGCTTCCGATCCCCCCCTCCGCTGAGTGAAAGATTTCTCTCCAGCGCCAAGAGCAGGCTGTGCAAGGAGCACAGCAGTCATGCTGAAAGGCGAATTCCATAACCTCCGACCTGTCCTGGACACAGGGAGAAATGTTTGACCTCCGCTTGTATTTCAGTCCCAAGCTAAGCTCCACCGGAATCTGTTTCTTTTAATCAGCCTCGATCCAACCGCTTCTGCCCACTGGTGGGAAACGTGGCCTGTTCCTTGGTGTTATGTTTGGGTGGGGAGGGACACCACCTGGGATCTGTCCCAAGCTCTGACACAAAGTTCTCGGGCAAGTCACCACAGCTGTGTCTAGACTACACCTCTCTGTCGACAGAGAGATGTAGATTAGACACGTCGAAATTGCTAATGAAGCAGGAATTTAAATATCCCACGCTTCATTAGCATAAACATGGCCGCCGCTTTTTTCGACATGGAGTTTTTTCGGAAGAAAAAAGCAGCAGTCTAGACAGGGATCTGTCGAAAAGTAAACCCTTTTTCGACAGATCCTCATTTTTTGAGGAATACAGGATCTGTTGAAAAAGGGTTTATTTTTCAACAGATTCCCATCTAGACTACTGGAGTTTTTTCGAAAAAGCTCCATGTCGAAAAAAGGGGCAGCCATATTAATCCTAATGAGGCGCAGGATATTTAAATCCCTGCTTCATTAGCAATTTCGACATGTCTAATCTACATCTCTCTGTCGACAGAGAGGTGTAGTCTAGATGTACCCTAAGTCGCTCTGGGACTGGGTTCCCACTCTTCCGCTTCTGTTATATTAGCTGTTTCTGTGGCCCCATGGTCATAATATCTGAGCACCACAAGCTTTAATTTAGCCCCCCAATCTCCTTGCAAGTACAGGGGAAACAGAGGCACGAAAACCTAGCAACACCCATGATGTCTGTGACAGAGCAAGGGATTGAGCTGCAGTCTCCTACGTCTCAGGCTCGCACCCTAAATCCTGGGCCATCTTTCCTGTAGCGGGGTGGGTAACACTGCACCCCTTTCTCTTGCCTTCTTCCTGCTGTCTTTACATGGAGTGTAAACTCTTTGGGGGCAGAGACTGGCTTTCACGATATGTACTGTCCCCAATGCTGCCAGGCCTTGATCTCGATAGAGGGCTCCCGGTGCTACCAAAATATGAACAAAAGTAGAAGTGAGATTGCAAAGAGCTATTGCTTTGAATCTGGGCAGTGCCACTAATTTAGTGGGACTTGATTTGTTTCTACTAAACACACAGGCAAACCAGTGTCAGGACTGACAGCCCAGTGCTGTTGACTGTTAGCGGGGTGGAGGAATTGGTACAGTATCAAGTGAAATGCTGCCCCTTGTTTTTGTGACCAGGATGACTTTGGATTCAGACGGACAGCGGTGTCATACTTCACACACCACTTACCCTTTGTCCAGGGGCCATTAAAAATGGAAACATGTCAAATTACAGGTTGTCCCTCTATAAACTGGGACTCTCTTCCAAATAAAAGGAAGTTCTTCTTCACACAGCTCATAGTCAACCTGTGGAACTCCTTGCCTGAGGAAGTTGTGAAGGTTAGGACTATAACAGGGTTTAAAAGAGAACTAGATAAATTCATGGAGGTTAAGTCCATCAATGGCTATTAGCCAGGATGGGTAAGGAATGGTGTCCCTGGCTTCTGTTTGACAGAGGGTAGAGGTGGATGGCAGGAGAGAGATCGCTTGATGATTACCTGTTCGATTCACTCCCTCTGGGGCACCTGGCATTGGCCACTGTCGGCAGATAGGACACTGGGCTGGATGGACCTTTGGTCTGACCCAGTCTGGCCGTTCTTAAGTTCTTTGGTCCGGTAACATCCGTGGTCCAGGAGGGCCATAGACAATCCAGGGTCCGGGCTCGCTGCAGAGGTGGGAACCCCCCGTGCTGCAGAAGGGTGAGAGCCTGGCACAATGCAGCTGAACTGCCCCGGGAAGGGGAGGGGGGCAGGAGCCCAGTGTGCAGCCCAGCTGGGCAGGTGGGGGTAGAAGCTGAACTGGGCCACCCAGGGGAGCCAGGAAGCTTGGTGGGGAGGCCCGCAGCAGGGGGACCAGACATGGTCCAGCAAAATCCCTCATTTGGGCCGAGTCCAGAGCTCCAACCTGTATTCTGTCACGGATTTTTTTTTTAAAGGGAAAACCCCAGTTTTCAGTGTTTACGTAGGATCTCGATGAAAATGTTTTGTCGTCCGATGTGCTGCACAGCAGCAGTCCAACGCTGTTTCAGGGCAGTTCTGACAGTTGATGCAAGTGCAAAACCAAAACGGGAGTTAATTTCAAGGTCCATTACAAGCAGAAGCGCCTGCAGCCCTTTTGGCATCGCAGGGGAAGTGCGAATGTCTAGGTTTGAATGACCCTCCGGTGCATCATTTAAGAAATGGGTTTTAGAACAATGTGATTGGTTCCCCCTTGGCTTTGTCTTCACCCCTCGTGTCCGTCTCTGCCCTCCCCCTCTCATTTGTAATGTATTTTGCATTAAACTGAGAGCCTTACAGATGCATTAACAGCTTAACCAATTGAAAGCTTTGGAGCATCTTGAGCGCATAAACCAATCTAAAGTGTTAGATTGGTTTAATCTTCTTTAATTTGCCTTATGGGCTACAATACTATTAGATTGCACCAGCTGTTACTTAGCATTGTTTACAGGCACAGGAGACAAGCTCCCTGCTCTGAGATCTTGCCATCCAAGGCCTCGATCTCGCAAAAGCATTTGCAGATGCTTCTTTTTGATTATTATTTGCCTGACTCTGGCACCAGGGAGCCCTAGTCCTGGATCCCTGCTGTGTGAGGTGATGTACAGTGAGCCCGCTGAAGTAATAAAGTTACAAGTCAAGTTACGTATGTGCAGAGTCAGGCTTATAAGAGACTTAAACTTGGGGGGAGGGGAGGCTTATACAAAGAACAAAAAAAGGCCCCAACAGGAGAGGGGTTCATCAGCATCTCTGGAATTCATCACGCCCTGGCCTGGAAAGAACTGGGAAGGGGTTCAGGAATGCTTGGCCTATGCTGAAGGTGGTCTCTCTCCTCCCCTGCAGCTTGTTGAGTGGATGAGCTCTGCCCAGAAACCCACACTGCGTTCTCCTTGCTTTGCCGTTTGCCTTCCGTAAGCCGCTGGGTCTGAACCCCTTGGCTATGAGGCCGACAAGGGCTGTTCGGCTCTAATTCACCTTTCACTTCTCTCGACTTGAAAAACACCCTTCCCGTCTGCACCTTGACCGGACGCCAGAGTTTCCGCTCTGGGGGGCCCTTCGTTGGCTTCAGTCCCATCAGCACTCGAGTGAATGGGACCCTGCATTAGGGACGTTGAATGGCGTTTAAGCAGCTGATCAATGAGGCGATGGAATTTCCATCGACTAGTCGCTTCGTCGATAAGAGGGGGAACGCGGAGCTATAGCGGGGGGAGCTCCTGGCCCCGGGAGCTAACCCCGCTGCGGCTCTGCCTTTTAAATGTAGTAAGAGCCTGGCGGCTCCTGATATGTTTAAAAAGCACAAGCCGCAGCAGGGGGACTGGGCGCGAGCCGGGAATCAGCTGATGCCCGGCTCAAGCCTGGTCCCCTGCTACGCCTCTTGGCTCCCCGCAGAGATAATGCTGGGGGAGAACCAGCTCCTGTCGTCCCCCCCCGCCTCTCTCTGATAAAGGCAGCAAGGTGGGGGAGGAGCAACTTGTCAAGTCAGTAGTCAACTATTCAATAAGCAAATGCTTCACGTGGAGGAGCAAGCAGCCTGGGTTGTGCCTGCTTAGTTCAGAATCTCCCCCTAATGTATTGAGGGGAGGAGGTGGGAACTGGGGCGGCTGCCTCTCTGTCCCGTTCCTGCGCATGTCCGGTACGGCGCTGGCGGCCTGGCGAGAGGAACGGGCACGTGCTTACACTCGTCTCGCCTTCTCCCCTTGCTTTCTAGGGAGCTCAAGTTGCGAAACTATGTTCCTGAGGATGAAGAGCTCAAGAAAAGGAAGGTGCCTCAGGCCAAGCCAGCCTCAGGTAGGTGCTAGAGCAGGGGAGGGGAAGCTTTTGTGGGTCGGGTGCTGCTGACTCCCAGAAAAATCAGTCGGGGGCCGAACACAAATACATAAGAACGGCCGTACTGGGTCAGACCAAAGGTCCATCTAGCCCAGTAGCCTGTCTGCCGACGGTGGCCAGCATCAGATGCCTCGGAGGGGGTGGACCAAAGACAATGGTCAAGCAATTTGTCTCCTGCCATCCGTCCCCAGCCTCTGACAAACAGAGGCCAGGGAAACCATTCCTACCTCCTGGCTAATAACCTTTTATGGACCTAACCTCCATGAATTTATCTAACTTCTCTTTAAACTCTGTTATAGTTCTAGCTTTCACAGCCTCCTCTGGCAGGGAGTTCCACAGGTTGACTACACGCTGTGTGAAGAAGAACTTTTGCTTATTAGTTTGAAACCTGCTACCCAGTAGTTTCATTTGGTGTCCTCTAGTCCTTATATTATGGGAACTAATAAATAACTTTTCTTTATGCACCCTCTCCACACCAGTCATGATTGTATAGACCTCTATCCTATCCCCCCTCAGTCTCCTCTTTTCTAAACTGAAATGTCCCAGTGGCTTTGAAAAGCAAAACCACGGCAACAACAAAACCCTGATATGGTCCCTGACTGAGGAGGGGAAAGAGACTCCCCATGTTCCCCCCGCTCCTCAGAGCCTAGGGAGGCTCAGGCTAGTAGAGTTTGTGTGATCCAACCCCGCACTAGGGTGGAGGGGAGGCTGGAGCGCCCCCAATGCTGGAGGGGAGCCCTAAGCCTGGGGGGCTGGATCCAGGCAAGCCGGGCCCCTGGGCCTGAGGTTCCCCACCTCCGTGCTAGAGAGAGCGCTTTTGAGAAGCAGGGAAGGTCAAAATCATTCCCACCCCCTTTAAAAACAAAAAAGAACAAGGAGGAAGACAGCATGAAAGTAGCTAGACTGAACATCCTGGAGAGTGAAGTCCTCTGCCTCTAGTACAGGGTCAGCAGCAGGCCCCGTTGCCTCCATGTTGCCCTGTTTGGAGAGATGGCTTCAGCTAGGGCTGTAACAGGAACATCTTAACCATGGTCTATTAAATCACGACTGGTGTGGAGAAAGTGACTAAGGGAAAAGTTTTTTACTTGCTCCCATAACACTAGGACTAGGGGTCAACAAATGAAATGAATAGGTCGTGGGTTCAAAACAAACCAAAGGAAATTTTTCTTCATGCAGCGCAGTCAACCTGTGGAACTCCTTGCCAGAGGATGTTGTGAAGGCCAGGGTTTTAACAGGGTTCAAAAAAGAGCTAGATACATTCATGGAGGGTAGGTCCATCAGCGGCTATTAGCCAGGATGGGCAGGGATGGTGTCCCTAGCCTGTGTTTGTCAGAAGCTGGGAATGGGCAACAGGGGATGGATCACTTGACTACCTGTACATTCCTCCATGCATCTAGCATTGACCACTGTTGCAGAGTGGCTGGGCGGGGCCGGGTGGCCCTGGCTTGGGAACCCCCTGGAGGCAGCTGGGCCAGGCAGCAACTGGGAAGCCCCGGGGAACCCCCAGCGGCAGCAGGCCAGGCTGGTGGCGGCTGGGCAGCTTGGTAGGGGAACCCCAGGGAACTGTGGTGGCAGAGGGGTGGGAGCCAAGGAGCGGGGCATGGACCTCTCTTGGTCTGGCAAACTCCCTGCTTTGGGACAGCTCAGATCTCCTGGGTGCCGGACCAGAGAGGTCCAACCCGTAGTTTTGTGTCATCTTCAAATGTGGCCACCTCACCAGGCCTGCTGACGGGAACGGAGGGCGGGAGCGCTGCCCCAGATCCAGTGATCCCAAAGGGCCTGGGGTTCCCGGCTGCCACCAGATGCTGCTATAGTTGCTGGAGCCAGGGGTCCTTTAAATAACAGCGGGAGCCCCATGCGGCGTGCTCCGGAACCTGGGCGGTGCTGAAGGGCTGGTGGGGGGAGGCTAGCCCTGCCCCTTCCGGGACTGCGGAGCTCCCCCCCACCTGGCAATCAGTCTGCCCTCTGCATCTTACTGTCTACCTCGTTTTCCAGATCACAGGTTGACTAGGAGATGTCCCAGAACAAACCCCTCCCACCATTCTAGAAACTAGTTAGACCTATCCTTTGTTTTCTATCTTTTAACCACCTGCCACACCACGAGAGGATCTTCCCCCTTATCCCCAGGGTACTTTGCTTCTGAGCCTCCGGTGAAAGACCTTGTCAAAGACTTTCTGGAAATCGAAGTACAACAGATCCACTGGATTCCTCTTGTCCCCATACATGTTGACCCACACTTGGGGGGCCTCTAGTTTGGCCTGGAAAGCCATATTCAGGCCCCTGTGTTCATCTCTTGGACGTCAGTGGAAACCGTAGGCACTTAGCACCTCTGAAAACCAAGCCACTTTTACTTTTTATTAACTTTAAGCAGCCACGTTAGAACATGTTACCCACAAATTCAGGGCTTTTTATCAGGCACCATTCTGCGGCTGGAAAATTCACTTATACTTAAATAATGTAAAGCAAAAATCTTTAAATGTGTGCTAAGGATCAGGAGTGGCAGAAATTAGTTTTGAAAGTTTGCAGAAAAAATACCCTGTAGTACAGGAACGGTGGCTTTGATTAGAAAGTTGCGGGGGCTCCGTGGATCTCATCTGTGTGTAGAATCTCGTGGTTTGCCCTCCTGTGAAGCGTGAATGGCGTTTTCCCTCCGTTGCAATGATGGGAAGCGGACACAGCTGCCTCGAGTGATTGGTCAATGATTTAGACCAATTGGTGCTCCGTGGAATTCTCCCACCCTCCTCTTAAAGAGACAGAAGGTTTGGGGGGGGGGCTTTTTTTTCCCGACAAATCACAAGGCAACCCTACGGTCAACCCCACGAGGTTCCATGGTCAAATAAAATTGGCAAACACTGATCTAGATAGTGGCATGATGAGTACCTCATAAAGTTAGTGGATGATGGCAAGCTGGGAGGGGTGGCAAGTTCTTTGGAGGAGAGGGTCACCATTCAAAATATTCTGGACAAACTGGAGAAATAGTCTGAGGTAAACAGGATGAAATTCAATAAGGAGAAATGCAAAGTACTCCACTTAGGAAGAATCAATCTGTTGTGCACACACAGAATGGGAAACGGCTGCCTAGGAAGGAGAACTGGGAGTGACTGTGGACCACAAGCGAAATACGAGTGAATGGTGTAATGCTCTTGCAAAAAAAAGAGAACGTTCTGTGATGTTTTTGCAGAAGTGTCATCAGCAGTACACAAGAAGTAATTATTCTGCTGAACTCGGTGCTGACGTATAGGCATCAACTAGAATATTGTGTCCAGTTCTGGGCACCACATTTCAGGAAAGATGTGGAGAAAGTCCAGAGACGAGCAACCTAAGTGATAAAAGGTCTAGAAAACATGAACTATGAGGGAAGGATGAAGGAATCAGGCTTGTTTATTGTGGAAAAGAGAAGACTGAGAGGAGACACGATAGCAGCTTTCAAGAAACTAAAAGGGTGCTTTAAGGCTGAGAGAGAAAAATTGTTCTCCTTGGCCTCTGCTGATAGCACAAGAAGCAATGGGTTTAACTTGCAGCAAGGGAGGTTTAGGTTGGACATTAGGGAAAAATTCCTACCTGTCAGGGTGGTTAAACACTGGGATAAATTGCCTAGAGAGGTTGTGGAATCTCCATCCCTGGAGATATTTAAGAGCAGGTTAGACAGACATCTATTAGGGGGCGATCTAAATCAGTGTTTCTCAACCAGAGAGAAGTTTGGGGGGGTACGTCAACACAACTGAAATTTGGAGAAAATGGAATTTTTGTTTTAAGTTTTACAGCGCTTGATTATTTTTATAATACCAAAAATACACCCAAAAATTTCATCGCTTGCCTGATTAAGTTGTTTAAACACATGTGTTGCAATGGTAGAAAAAAAATTGTGTCTGAAAACTGTAGGTACTGGGGGTACTTATAATTATTATTTTTTTTTTTTTGAAAAAGGGGTCCTTGATTTAAAAAAAAAAAAAGGTTGAGAAACACTAATCTACATGGTGCTTGGTCCTGCCATAAGGGCAGGGACTGGACTTGATGACTTCTTGTGGTCCTTTACAGTCTTATGATTCTATGATAACGTCCAGTGATGTCCAAGAACTGGTTTTCTTTGTAGCTCTATCATCTCCTTTAAAGAGAACGCCAGTGGCTTATCCTAGCCCAACGCTGCTGCCATGAGGAGCCTGGCCTCTGGCTGTGTTGTGTGCTACTCTCTGCCTTGGGAGAGGAGTTGCTCTGTAGCTGAATCCTGGCAGTGTTGGGTGTAGGCTTGTTTAAAATCAGCGACGGGGGGTGGGGGGAAGAGGAGAGAGAAATCAGGAAGCCTCATGTATCAAACCGGGGTGTATTTACTCACAGCCTCATAGGAAGTAAAATAGTTTGATGTAGAGGCCAGGTAACAAAATGCAGATCTTGCCCCTTTGATCTTGCGAGAGAGAGAGCGACCTCCCTTCTGTATCTACAACTGAACCACACTCTAAGCAGAATTTGGGACTAACCGTATTATCCTAGCCTGGACTGAGTTTCCATGGGAGTGGACCAGGCTGTGTCCTGCTCGTGGTTCCACCACTCAGCTCCGTTCTCCTAACCACAGTGCATCTTTTCCTTGTCTCTGAGTTTTTATTTCCATCATTCAAAGCCATTTCCTCCCCCAGGGAAGCACAAAACAGACCCGAATTAAACCAAAAGGGTAATGTGTTTCCCACTCTGCAGCGGTTATCTGCAGTAGGGCATTTCTAACACCCGGGGGAGGGGGCTGTGTGTGATAGAAATAGTGCACTCAAGCGCAGAATCGGGTCCGCTGGTCAGTACTGCTTTGCTCAGCCTCCCCTCGTTGCAATGTCTGGGCAGACAGTAAGAGGGAACTCCGCCACTGTCTCTTGTTCCATTTGGGGCTTTACATTAGTTTTCATGTAGGGATTTTAATAGCGTTCAGGTACTTCTCTGAATGCAGAGATCTTCCAGAGTGGTTTCATTCTCAGTTTGACTGTGACCATCACAGGAGCGTTCAGGTACTTCTCTGAATGCAGAGATCTTCCAGTCAGAGTGACCATCACAGGAAGGAAGGAGCTAGCATATGCTGTGTGGAAGTCTGAATTCTGGGGTGGCTAATGTAAGGAGAGATTAGAACATTAAAAGTAATTTGCCACAGAACTGCAGAGTGGGAAGTCTCCCATGAATACAGCAATCACAGGGAACCATGTTTACCAATCATCCTTTCAGTGCTTCTGCTTATGGGACTTTGTCCTAGCTCTCGGACAGTGTTTCTTTGGGACCAGTCTGTGGACTGGTGCCTGTCCCTGAGATCTTCCTGATGGAGGTTTGGAAGGCAGCAAGCCCGTGCCGGATATCGAAATGATCAAGAACCGTTTCTTTGGGACCAGTCTGTGGACTGGCGCCTGTCCCTGAGATCTTCCTGACGGAGGTTCGGAAGGCAGCAAGCCCATGCCGGATATCAAAATGGTCGAGAACAACTGTTGTAGGAAATACTGCTCCTTCAGGAAAACTCAGTCCTCTGCATCGTTGCTTGCTTTGAATTAACATTGCCAACTTAAGTCATGTACTATAAGCAAATCCAAGTTCCTTTCCAGTGGTACAGCAGCAGAGGTTAACATGTAGAGTCCAGCTGACTTCAGTTCTGCCGCTGCTCCCTTCTTGCATTTCTCTCCGTTCAGACAATGGATGTCCGTTCCACTTCTGGGCTATGTCTACACTGGCAGCTTCTTGCACAAGAACATCTTGCACAAGAAAACGTCCACACTGCCGTGTGCGAGCTGTGCTTTTGCGCAAGAGCATCCATGGCAGTGTAGACACTCTCTTGCGCAAGAAAGCTCTGATGGACATTTTAGCCATAGGGCTTTCTCTATCAGTGCTACTAAGGGTAGAATCTAGTGCAGAAAGGCAAAGGGATTTTAACTACAGGCAATCTCTGGGTTATGTACAAGATAGGGACTGTAGGTTTGTTCTTAAGTTGAATTTGTATGTAAGTCGGAACTGGTACATATTGTAGGGGAAACTCTAGCCAAACATTTCTCCAGAGCTCAGTTTTATTCTCCCACACCTCACTTCCCTCAGTCCTTTATTCTCAAGCTGAGGTGTCTGCTGAGAAAAGCCGCTCCATGTCTCCCTGGTCTGCTGGGGGAGGGGGCGGGGTGCTAGCGTCGCGTCTCCCTGGTCTGCTGGGGGGAAGCAGCTAGTGCGGGGTTGCCTCACCCCGTTTGTAAGTAGGGATCCAATGTAAGTCGGATCCATGTAATCCGGGGACTGCCTGTACTGTAAATTTCCTTGCGCAAGAGCAGGCGGGCAGTGTGGATGCTCTGCGGATTCTTGCGCAAGAACCGCCATACTCGCGCAAGGAGCCGCGAGTGTAGACATAGCCCTGGAGTGCCATGTTTGAGCATGGGAATGGTTCTGTACTGAAGTAGTTGCTAAAGCATGTCTGTTAGGGTTAGCATTTGTACACGCTCCAGAAGGAGCAGTTGCCAGTACCCCTTCAAAGTGAAGCACCCGTCAGCTCTGTCCTCACGCTGGCTTTCTTGTAAGAGCCACTCGGTCCACACATCCACACAAGTGGCGCCATCACAAGACTGACCACATACGCCACAACATCAGGGACTCATACCACTGCACGTCCTGTAATGTGATGTGTGCCGGCAATGCCCCTTGGCCTTGGAGAATGGCCAAACTGGACAGTCTCGACAACAAAGGGGTAAATGGATGCAAATCAGACATCAGAAATGGTATCACACGGAAACCCGGAGGGGAGCATTTTAACCTGCCTGGTCACTCAAACATGGATTTAAAAGTAGCCATTCTTCTACAAAGGAATTTCACAAGCCAATTAGAGAGAGAGTACGGAACTGGAATTCATCTGTAGATTTGACACCATTACCCTGGGCTTGAATAAAGACATTAACAGAGTTGGTACATTACAAGGCCAATTTCTGCCACATTACCCTGGGCTTGAATAAAGACATTAACAGGGTTGGTACATTACAAAGCCAATTTCTACCGCCTTTATTAGCTGCATTTCCACATCAAAAGCTATGCATGGGACACAATCAGCCCACTTAATTAGCCTCATTAACACGAGCCTGCAATTGACAGGTACTACTTCTACTGTTATAGCTCTCTCTTGGTTTCTGTTATTTCCGCTCTAGTTCAGCTGAGGAAGTGGATTTTGCCCACGAAAGCGCACGATTCTGTATATTTTGGTTAGTCTCTACGGCGCCACAGGACCGCTCGTTTTTTCGCTAACATTTGTTCTGTTGCTCCCTCTAGTGGAAGATAAAGTAAAAGACCAACTACAAGCAGCGAAACCAGAGCCTATCATTGAAGAAGTGGTACGTGTCTGCTTTGCAATACCCGGTTTGAAATAGAATTGTGCTCGCTGGTAAATGCCCTGTTTCCCATTTGTAGTACTTTAGCTCCTTTTAATGAGAATCCCTTTGTTCCTTTCCTCTAGGATTTGGCAAACCTCGCCCCCAGGAAACCAGATTGGTAAGTGTGATTTTAGGATTACACACCGCTTTCGTGTGTTTCCATGGTAGCCGGGTCACTCTCTAGCAATTTCCATAACTTTAACCCTGGTACGGTTACACTAGCTGGGATAGGACAAGAAGTTGGGAAGCGCATGTTGAATGTCGAGGGAAACTTCCCAGCAGTGAGAGCTGAGTGTAGAACAATCTCCAAGGGGGAGAACTAAAATCCCCACAGCACCACGAACGCTAGACTGCAGCAAATCTCCATAAACGTCCTGTAGAAGAGTATGAACAGGCTTTGGCTCTCGGGATTGGCTACGTGGGCGGTGGTGCTAAACTCCACATTTTGAGAATTTCTAGGACGGGGCACACTTTGGCTTGCTTATCATTTGCCCAGTGACAAAGGGCTCTGGTGATGCTTGTACTGGGGTCGAGGCCCTAGTGTGCTAGGCACTGTACAAACGCATGATGAGCAATGGTCCCACAGCATCTTCAGTTCAGGACGTGGGCAGGTGTGGGCATCCGTGCTACACACCCCCAGCAGGGAACGGCGTGCGCAGGATAATAAGCAAAAGAACGTGTTACTGCCGGGCCTCCGAAGCTAAGGAGAGAAACGTTTCTGATGGAAATGAGGGGCATGGAAGTGCTCCTCCGCCTCCTGTTCTGAACCTCGATAGATACATCACAAATCGCACAGGCCTGCAGGTGGAGCAGTAGACCTTTACTGCCCCAGGCTCCCGGTGGGTTGGGTGTTTTGTGCTTGCTTGGGGAGTTGGCTTCTCTGTGAGTTTGACTATCGCCGTGCCACACGGGTCCCTGGGTGCGGGTGTGGGGGAGGGACTAGTGGGAGTTGTGGGGTTCACGTGTCAGGAGGCAGATCAGAAGGAGTATCATGGAGCCCTTGGTGTCACTGAGGGTGCTGCTGTTCTCAAACTACAGGGAGGGCAAGGATTGCTGGGTGGGGAGGGGCAGAGGCGGAGGGTTTCTTCATTCCCCTTCCTCCCCCAAGGAAGTGACACGCACCCTCCCCCATGAAGCTGGCACTTCCTGTACCCTCCCCATCCAATTCCAGTTTGAAGGGAATGCTGCTCCGCCCCCACTCCGGGGGTGGTGTGTGGGTTCAAGGGACGGTTTGTGGTGGTTCCCCCGAGCCCCGTATGTCAGTGGGACATGGGGACCTGGTTGATGCAGGGGCTGGCATCAGCATGACTGGCCCCTCTTCACCCCACCATCGTTTGGGAGAGGAGGAGCTGGGGGCTTTAAGGAAGGGTTGTAATGGATGCAGAGCAGGGCCAGAAAGAGGTGGGGTGGGGCAGAGCCTGGGGGGGGAGGAGAAGCTGTCCCACACCCTGCACTCTGTCTAGGGATGGCCCTGTGTCTAGGGAATGCAAGTGGCAGGGATATCCCCATAAGACTGGCCTGCAAGGTCCCTTGCCCTGGCTCTGAGGATGGTGAGGATGACGGTGCCAGTCTCTGCCCCAAGGAGCTTACAAGGCAGAGGCCGTGCGTCTGTGGCTGGACTTCCTCTGAGGCCCCAGGCTGGCTCTGAATAGACCCCTGGCCCCTTTCATCTGAGCTCCTTGGCTGCCCGTGCGGGTCTGTGTGCTGGTGTGTTGGGCTTTCCCGCTAATTACCATCCTCTCCCCCAGGGATTTAAAGCGAGACGTGGCCAAGAAGCTGGAAAAGCTGGAGAAGAGAACACAAAGGGCAATTGCTGAATTGATAAGTAAGTGCCCGGCCACCGTTGGCCTGCCCGGCAGGAGAATATTACCGACTTGGAAGGAGTGAGGCCAAGATTTTCCAAAGGCAGGAGACAAAAGTTAGGCTCTAACCTGCTAGCTATGCACCCGCCTCGGGGCTCCCAGCAGCTGTGCCGGAGGGATCTGTGGGGAGCTCAGCCCTTTGAGAAGCAGACAATGTAGTTAGGCTGCATATTTATCTTTGAAAGTCATGGCCGTGTTGATGAGCAGCGACGTGCTTCGGGCTGCCACACAGACACCCCGGGCAGATGCTGTAACGGTGTCCTGTTCCATGATGGAGCTGGACTTCTCCCGCCATCGGACAGCTCAGGGATCCCAGTGCGAGCTCGGGGGCGCTCGGTAGCACTTTGTACACGGGAAAGCCTTGGCAGAGTGTCAGGAATCAGCTGTCCCAGCTGCCCCCTCTCTAGGGGCGCCTTCTGGAGTGAAGGCCAAGACTACAACAGGGCTCAAAAAGGAACAAGATCTGTTCATGGAGGTTAAGTCCATCAATGGCTAATAGCCAGGATGGGTGGGAACGGTGTCCCTGGCCTCTGTTTGTCTGGGGCTGGGAATGGGCGACGGGATGATTCCCTGTTGTGTTCACCCCCCCTGGGGCATCTGGCATTGGCCACAGTCGGCAGACGGGACACTGGGCAAGATGGACCTTTGGTCTGACCCAGTCTGGCTGCTCTGATGAGTGATGCTGCCCCCTTCTGGCAGCCAGCCACTGATCCCCAGAGCCTGGTCTAAGTAGGGCTCTTCCTTCCAGCCAAGAATTTACAGGGTAGCGCTAAACCCTGGAGGAGAGGGATAGCTCGGTGGTTTGAGCATTGGCCTGCTCAACCCAGGGTTGTGAGTTCAACCTTTGAGGGGGCCATTTAGGGATCTGAGGTAAATCTCTCAGGGATGGTACCGGGTCCTGCCGCGACATGTTGTACAGTAGAAGCCAGATTGGCCTAGCCATTTAGGTGACAGCCACTCTAGAAATAACTGGATGGAGCCAATCCAGGGTCAGTGGAGCAGGTGGACGTGCTAGCCGTTTGGGTAGCCTGGTTCAGATCACGCCCTCTTCCCGTGCCGTTCTGAACTCCAGTTACACAGTGATGGCTTTTCTCTTCCCGCGCAGGGGAGCGGCTGAGAGGCCAAGAGGAAGAGCTGGCATCAGCTGTTGGATCGGCAAAGCAGGAAGGAAGTGATTCTGACTAAGGAGGTCTGGCGGGCTGCCCTGGCACAGAGACTCGCTACCGTCTTGTCCCTCTGCTCGCAGAATCCGTCCCTCCCTCCGACTTCGGGAGAAGGGAATCTCTCTCGGAGCCCTGAACATTTCCGCCACAGCACAGCAACTCCCACGAGGGCAGATGTGGGGCAGCCCCATAGACCCTTCTAGAACCACGTGCATGTGGCTTGCCCTTTGGGAGCATTTCCCACGGGGGACATCTGTGCCAGGCGCATGCTGTGTCCTGCCTTCTCGTCCCCTGCAGAGCATGCCCAGCAGTATGTGGGTTGGGATTGCGGGTGGGGGGGCGTTCGGTGAAGCTTTTTGATCAAATAAAAAGCCTTTGGATAAAGCACCGGAGCAGGTTAAAGGAGCACGTGGCTTTGAGCAACACGCAGAACCCCACGGAGCCTGAAGCAAAGCCTTCCCTGGGAATTGCAGCCACTCCCCACACTGGCCAGGATGGGGCATCTTGTGGCTTCAGAGTGGTACCAACGCTTGCCTGGGCCAGCGTGTTTCCCTGCAGAGTGGGGAGGAGCGTAGAGGCCCAACTCCTTTGCTGACCCCTCTTGTGTCTTGGTACAACGGAGCACAGGGCGTAACTAATATGCAAGAGCGGGTGCACATGGGAGGGGCTGGTGAGCTTTTGACCCTTAAACAGATGAGGGGCGGCACCTGTCGTGGTGTGGAGACTTTGCTGGAGGCCAGCGAGAATCCCGGAATGGCGTTGCAGCTCGAGAGTTTTCTCTAGGGCAGCGGTTCTTAAGCTTTTTGTTCCACGGACCACCCCGCTGAACACAGAGCTTTCGGGAGATCACCAGCCAAGCACCCATGATGACAACATGGGTGCAGGAGGGAATGGAGGTGTGGGGTCTGGCCAGAAGGTAGGGTGCAGGAGTGGGCTGCGGGTGGGAAGTCTGGGAGGGAGGGTGCAGAAGCGGGTGAGGGTCTGGGTGGGAGGGTGTCTCCTTGAGGGGCTTGAAGGCACAGGGACAGGGCATGAAGGTGATGGGGCATTTGTCTATCTCCATGCCTTCCACCACTCCCAGACACCGCCCCCTGCTGCTCCCATTGGCCATGATTGTGGCCAATGGGAGCAGCAGGGAAAGCCTTTGGGCGAGCGGTTTCCTGCGCTGCAATTGCCTCAGCTGGGGGAAAGGGAAACGAGAGCGCACAGAGCCAATTCCTTCCCCTGCAAGCCGGATCCAGCTCATGAGGTTCCCCCCATCTCTCCTACCATGGGAAGCTAGTATTGGTGTTCCAACCTCGCAGGGGTGGGGCACGAGTGCAGCCTCCGTGCGCCGAGGGAGGGAGCGAACCCAGCCCACCTGCAAAATGATCACGAACCACTAGGGGCCCATAAACCACCCTTTGAGAACCACTGGTCTAGCATCACTAAAAGTGGCCTTGCCTGCGTTCTAGCAGAGATTCATGCCAGAGTCGGTCTGATCTCATGCGGGAGGGTGCGGAGCATGTGCTGTATCAGTGGGTTTTGTGCTGTATCAGTGGGCAACAAGTATTCCTGTCCCTACTCAAATGATCCAGCAACTGGTTTCACACACACAGAATGGGAAGCGACTGCCTAGAAAGGAGTACGGCAGGAAGGGATCTAGGGGTCAGAGTGGACCACAAGCTAAATATGAGTCAACACTGTGACACTTGCAAAAAAAGCAAACATGATTCTGGGATGCATTAACAGGTGTGCTGTGAGCAAGACAGGAGAAGTCTTTCTTCCACTCTGCTCTGATTAGGCCTTAGTAGGAGTCTTGTGTCCAGTTCTGGGCACCACGTTTCAAGAAAGATGTGGAGAAATTGGAGACGGTTCAGAGAAGAGCAACGAAAATGATTAAAGGTCTAGAGAACATGAGCTATGAGGGAAGATTGGAAAAAAATGGGGTGGTTTAGTTTGGAAAGGAGAAGACTGAGAGGGGACATGAGAGTGGTTTTCAGTGTCACAGGGAGGAGTGGGGGAAATAGTTTTCCTTGGCCTCTGAGGATAGGACAAGAAGCAATGGGCTTAAATTGCAGCAAAGGAGGTTTAAGTTGGACATTTACAAAAACTTCCTACCTGTCAGGGTGGTTAAACACTGGAATACATTGCCTAGGGGCGTGTGGAACCATCACTGGAGATATTTAAGTGCGGGTTAGACAGACATCAGTCAGGGATGATCTAGCCAGCGCTTGGTCCTGCCGTGAGAGCAGGGGACTGGACTTGATGACCTCTCGAGGTCCCTTCCAGTCCTAGTGTTCTGTGATTTTTGTGGTGCAAAATGTCCCCTTCTGGGGACACATCACTTCAGGGAAAGTCCATGAGAACGGGTCCTGAAGAGGTAGTTAATTTCACATCTGGTTTAGTCTGTGGGCCAGCTGCATCCATTTCAGGGGGGCATTCGAGGAGTGGGGAGGCAATGGTGCTTGGGCGGCATCAGCTCAGGAGCACGTAGGGAAACAGCAGCAGCAGTGAACACGCCTTGTTCAACATCAGATGCTTATTGTGGCTTTCTAAAACCCCTGTCAATATACGCAGCTCTGAAAGAGCTTGGGCATTTGGTTCTTTCTGATTCATGAATTCTTTTCAGTGGCCCCCTCAACCCCATAGAATCAGAACTTTGAGAACATCAGGGTCTGTTCCTTGGTCCTATTCGTGGGGTCCCATTTGCACTTTGATCTGGGCCAGGCTAGCCAGCTCCTGGTTGAATCACAGCGGTGGTAGCAACATTCCCATAACCTAGGTGGGGGGAAGCGACTAGTCCGGGAACTAGTCGACTAGGGGTTTACATCCCTCGTCAGATTCTACTGGTTTCCATCTGCACAGATTTTTCCCCCCCACCGGTATGATGCCAAAGCGTCAGACTTCCTGTTTCAACACCTGCAACCCAACTCCATGGTTGGTTAATGCATGAAGCAAACAACCTAATGCCCACTCAGCCCCATGCAATAAGGTTTAGCAAGATGGACTCGTTCTTGCTGATGTAACTGTTTAGAACTGCAGATGAACAAACTATTCCGGCCAAATATGATTGTATGATGGATGGGAAATTGAGAGCATTTCTGGAACATTTACTCATAGAATCATAGAATCATAGGACTGGAAGGGACCTCGAGAGGTCATCGAGTCCAGCCCCCCGCCCTCAAGGCAGGACCAAGCTCCGTCTACTCCATCCCTGACAGATGTCTATCTAACCTGTTCTTAAATATCTCCAGAGAGGGAGATTCCACCACCTCCCTTGGCAATTTATTCCAATATTTGACCACCCTGACAGTTAGGAATTTTTTCCTAATGTCCAATCTAAACCTCCCTTGCTGCAGTTTAAGCCCATTACTCCTTGTCCTGTCCTCAGAAACCAAGAGGAACAAATTTTCTTCTTCCTCCTTGTGACACCCTTTTAGATATTTGAAAACCGCTATCATGTCCCCCCTTAATCTTCTTTTTTCCAAACTAAACAAGCCCAGTTCATGAAGCCTGGCTTCATAGGTCATGTTCTCTAGACCTTTAATCATTCTTGTCGCTCTTCTCTGTACCCTTTCCAATTTCTCCACATCTTTCTTGAAATGTGGCGCCCAGAACTGGACACAGTACTCCAGCTGAGGCCTAACTAGTGCAGAGTAGAGCGGCAGAATGACTTCACGAGTCCATGTTAAATGAATTTGTATCACCTCCCCCCCCACTGCCCTGGGTCGCTTCCTCCCCCCTTCTCACCAGACTCCTTGCCCTCCTGGGGTTCCTTCAAGGCGTTTGCGGTCCTCAATGCCCTTCCCCCCTGCAGGCTCCTTCCCCCTGTCTCTTTCTCCTCTGTGCCTCTTTTCCACTCCGCGTCCCTTTGGTTCCTTCTCTCTCTCCTCTCCTCCGTCCTCCACTCCTCTCCCATGTCTCCTCTGAACCCCACGTGCCCTTATTTACCTCCGGGTCCTCTGCCCCGACCCAATCCCCCAGCCCACTGCCTGAGGGACCCCGCCCTCTCCCAGCTGGGGAAGCATTCGATCGCCCGGCAACCGTGTCCCGGCCGGCCCCCCGCCCCCTCCTGCCTCCGCTCCTGCACCGGCCTCACTCTCCTGCCTCCTGCTGCAGCTGAGCCCCAGCCACGCTGCGTGGCTTGCCAGCGGCTGCCTTCCACCGCCCTGCCGCTCTTCGCAGCCCGGGGGAGAGGGGTTGCAAGTGAAAAACCAAATCCAGCTGCGACCCCCCTCTAAGTTGCTCACAACCCATGTGGGCGTCGTGACCCATAGTTTGAGAAATACTGAGGTAAACAAATACTCGGTTTGCTCATCTGCTGATGCATAGATTCCTTAAGGGTGCTGGGAATCTTCCCACCTGTGACACCAGCCACTACTGTCTGGGATGTCAGGACTTTGACTAGGCCTCCCTTTGAGTCCATGGCAACTTGTTTTCTCGTACATGCATCCTTGAAGATACATGTACGAGTAATGCTCAAGTCCCCTTTTTAAGTATCTGTAGGGTCATAGCTCAAGTTTCTCCCTACTGCCTCTGCATTTTCCATATGAATCAACAGATCTAGCTGCCTGTTTTCTCCCGAACACACTTTGTGACAACAGGAGAATGGTTCTGCATATGCTACGTGTTAGAAGAACATTAGCTTGCTACTTGGAGAGGACTAAGGATGTTAGGAGATCCCCCTAAACTCTTCCTCTTATTCGCAGAAAGATCCCAAAGCTCTGTGATACTGCTTCGAAGACTATCCTGATGGGTTTCTGGTTGCATTAATCATTATCAAGGGCACAATGCGCTGCTGTCCAGAGTGCATATGAACTTCATGAGGTCAATTTCCACTTTGGTCACATTCCTTACAGATATTCCTAACATGCTTGAGGGGCGAGGAGTCCTGTGGCACCTTATAGACTAACTGAAGTGTAGGAGTATAAGCTTTCGTGGGCAAAGACCCACTTCGTCAGATGCATGTAGTGGAAATTTCCAGAGGCAGGAATAAATATGCAGGCCAGGATCAGGCTAGAGATGACGAGGTGGATCCAATCAGGGAGGATGAGGCCCACTTCTAGTAGCTTCTTGACGCCTTTAATACCTCCAGATCAGCTGCTAGAAGTGGGCTTCATCCTCCCTGATTTAATCCATCTCTAGCCTGATCCTGGCCTGCATATTTATTCCTGCCTCTGGAAATTTCCACTACATGCATCTGACGAAGTGGGTCTTTGCCCACGAAAGCTTATACTCCTACACTTCAGTTAGTCTATAAGGTGCCACAGGACTCCTCGCCGCATTTGCAGATTCAGACTAACACGGCGACCCCTCTGATACTAACATGCTTTTTCACTCAATCGTGGATTTAAAAGTAGCCATTCTACTACAAAGGAATTTCACTAACTAATTAGCAAGATTCT